ACTGATAACAAGGAAATGTTAGGCTTGTCACATTCAAAATGGAGATATGTAATGATAAACACTGGTCCCCGTCTTTTAGGTCCTTTCATTGAAATAGTTAATAATTTAGAAAAGTAGAGATATAATCGACAGGGGCATGTGATAGGAGGTGGTGCTGCACAAGAACAAGAGCAAAATGAAGAAAAATTATTGTGTTTAGCTTTGATAAATTCAAATTAAAATGTACCATTACACTCAGAGGATCAATATGAAATTCAATATATGCTAATTTTGTGTGTGAGCACATGACTGATAGCTGTTCTGTCCTGAGCTTTTGTTTTTACAGCACCCGCTTGACCACACCAACAGTTTCTCGCCACCAACAGGGGGTACTTGCAAAGAATAGGGAGGAATATCATCAAAACTGGGAAAGGTAAGCCCCGAAGGGGGTGATGACACCATAAATTTCACTTATGGTCAAATTCTCAAAATTTGACCCCAAACTTGAAAAATTCTTCAAACATTTAGAGACAGAGTGGATAAACATAATGTCGCAAACCACATAAGGATGGAGCATTTGAATCGATAAGATGGTGAAATAACACGCAGGAAAAATCTTGACCATGTTGATTATGTTTATTCCAGTGTGCAGAGATTGGCTAATCTGACCAGGAAATGTTATAAAATGGATTGTCGGAACAGTCAGCGTTAAAGTCACCTTTGACAGTCCAGACCAAGGTTATTATCGTTAACAAAAACTAACGAAATAACGAAAACTAGAAGTGAAAAAACATTAACGGAAATAAAAAGAAAAACAAAAAAGGAAAACTAACTAAAACTGTAATGAGTGCTCACAAAACTAACTAAAATTAACTGAATTTATAGCAAAAATGTGTTTAGTTTTCATTGATGTGTGCGTGTCATACAGTAGTCAAGGGTGAAGATAAAGTTTAGTTTCCAGATTTTTTTCTTGCTGTCTCATTATGCCAGCAGGTGGCAGCACGTTAGTCGAGTCGTCTGTGTTGCTCCGTCCACGCGCAGAATCATGTCAGGAAAAGTCGGGAGAAAGCGCCAGAGTCCAATTTGGGATTACTTTGAGTATGACTGTGCTTTGGTTAAAGCAAGTGTCTTGTAGTGGAAAGAGACAAATTGAGGGGCAAATGAGGGACATTTCTAAAGGGAAAAATCCCACAAACCTTAAAGTGCACTTGAAAAGCTCACACAAGAAGGCTAACCTAGCTTACCTTGAGAAGGTAAGGGAGCACACTCAACCCTCATCCCCAGAAAACAGAAGCTAACCCCATGCAAGGCAGCGTGATGCATCCCGAGACAACAGGACGGGGATATCTACATAACTGTGTGAGTCAGTTGCCTTCAAAAAGTTTATCAATTCACTTGAACCAAAATTACGAACACCCGGTGCTGCAAGAGTTAATAGTCTCAATACCCAAGGATAAGCACAAGAGCATGACTGATATGATGAAACTGGGATTAAACTAGCAAACAATTGGTAAAAACGAATTACAACGGACATAAAATTGAAAGTCTGAAGTCGAAACTAAATAAAAATAAAAACTAATGAAAATTGCAAAACTATTAAAACCCTGGTCCAGACTGAGATGGCGTTGGACATCTTCAGGGCGGAAAAGGGTTGGTGTGACCGAGGTGTGGTTTGGCTTGTTGTATGTATATTTTGAGATCATGTGGCTCTGGATGGACCGGTTACCAGGGCATGGAAGGAGGGTGGACTCATTAAATGAGGAGAAGGAATTTTCTGGGATTGAAGATCCTCTGGGTGAGTGGTTGACTAAAAGCATGCATAAAATAAAAGCTATTTTTCATTATTGATTGGTAATAGATTGATAATTGGCCACATTTACAGCTGTATTGACTTGTTGTGGACGCAGTCTACTTCATGTTTAAGCACTCTAATTAACAGATTGAAAATAGTGACATTAAAGGAAGAGTATGCAGCGTCACCCCGTCAGACGCCAGTGACGGTGGGGCTCAGTGATGAATCAGGTGAGCTGGATTCATGGCTGATTCAAAACTAAGATTCCCCTGCTGTGGTCAGTGAGGAGAAAACAGGGGGAAATAACATTTAAAAGAGGCAATTATAAACGTTTATGTGTGAAGTTTATAGACGGGATAAAAGGGGGTGTTTTACTGTTATTTCAGCATCAGCATTATTGTTACATCAGAATCATATAACAAGCATTGCATTAAACATTTCTTGAAGCTATTGACATTACATTAACATTTGTGTCCCAGTGATTGTTATAACCTCAGGTTAATCTTCTATTTACAGGTGTCGGGATAATCATATGATCTTTCATTGCAGGTGTAACCATGATCATTTTTATACATATTGCAGTTTGTTGCTCATTATAGAGTTGTGTTCAAGTTAATAAGGGTTAAAAACTACAGTCAGCGCGATGTTTGGCTGATCTATGGACTGGAGTGACTTTGGGCATGGAAGGCCGCACGCGCTTACATAACACTGATATCGTGTTTTTCTTTGTGATCTTTTATTCAGTTATATCTTTTGCTAAGTTTTAAGTAGTGGCAGTTAATTAAACGACATTTATTTAATATTACATACCTGATTCAGAGCATTACACACAGATCAATTTAACAATCTGCAAAACCTTGTAGCCGCAATATTGGGTCTCAATAAGGGACAGTTGGCTCCAGGAGATAGGTGGGAGTCAGTGCCTGTCCTCGAGGAGGAGAGAATGTTTCTTTGCTGTGTCTAAAGTAGTCAACAGGTTCATATTGAAGTGAAGTTCATATTATTACAGGTTATGTTTCTTGGCAATTCTGCGGACGCAGGCTCTGGGCGGAGCCAGGAGTTGAACAGATCTAACATGACAATTAAATTGATTTCATTCCCTAACACAGGATGACGGGACTGGAGCAACGACACTGGGTAGGAGAAAGTCTGATACTTTCTAAGATATAAAGTCACTAACCTTTTCTTTTAATTTTCTAGCTCCGTTGGTTTGACACATGGGAATGTGTCAAAAAAGGGGGGGAAGTCGAGTTTTAACATCAAACAAGGGTTATATGAACATTTTTATGACTTCATTTGTGTTTTAATAATTTAGGTGTGGTAAAGCTTAAGCTAATAGTGACCCAAGAGGTTTCCGGACTTTTTTAGAGAATCAGGGAGAAGCATAAATCATTATTTCCATGTTTAAGCATTAATCATTAAAATGAACTGAATAGCATTTAGAAGATAAAATGCCTGTGTTCACGAGAAGCTGAGTACCACACTGGAGAGGAAACCGTGGGACAGGAGGCGGAAGCAAACACATGATTTCTGTGAAAACGAGGGTCAAATGTTAGAATTAAAAATGGCTAATTTGTTTTTGATGTCTTTTGTTAAAATGAGTGGTTTTAATAATTTTCAGACACACCTTGCAAATGTGCTTATAATGAGTTGGCACTCGGTCTTTTGAAGGTCATAAGCTTCGTCCGGACTGATAAAGTGTAGGAAATGCCTTGAGTGCAGAGGGCATAATGCAAACACGCTTACACACACATAGGATATGATTAGAATAAGTCCCTGGGACATTCTGAATATTCTAAACCAATTCTGAATCGCCAGAAGATCAGTAGATAACAACATTAGATTATTAGAGCTAGGCAGAGAGGTGTTTTGGTTTTCTGTCTCTTACAGAGAAAGGAACAGACACCAGACGAGGTCACAGATATACGAGGATCCTTCGCAGCAGAGACAGACACAGTGACTGCCGAGACACCAACTGGGTTCGAGTGTCATGGCATTTTGGGCCCCAGCTAGTCACCTCAAAAGGATGGATCCCATAAACACAGCAATAACCATGAATGGGTTGACGAAAATCCAGGAACACCAGACCAACGAGGTTCGAGAGGCTCTTGGTAAAAAGGGGGACACGTTCCTGTTCCTTTTTCTGGGGGATACACAGGACACACAGGACCCGAGGACACACAGATCGTTGTTTGAAATCGGGGCAGAATAATCCCCTGATCTGTGCAACGACTGAAGGGTTGTCTAACCCCTGAGGTTGAAGAAAGAAGAGCAGAGGATCACCCAACTGGACGACACTGGTAGCTGCAGCAATAAAATAAAGGCTAAAAGCTCCTTGGACAGAGGTTCTAGTCTGAGTACGTCTGGAGGGTATAAGGTAGCACCAAATAAAGCTGTGGGAGAACTGGAGAGTGTCATCTGTACCTGCTATTGTTGGAATAATAGTTTTTCTTTCATCTGAACTGCGCAAACACAGAGGTCATCTCACATATGGTTCGCCCAACAGGGGGACAAAGGACCTAAGGGGTAAGAAGAAATGACCCGGCAACACTGGATTACAGGGTGTAGGTGAGCTCTTTATTCTAAAGAGCTCATCAGGGGGAGTGTGAGATTATAATATTATTTTATGCCATGTTAGACCCCTAATTAAAGATTGTGAATTATTATGTAGTTTTAGTTTGCATTATTCTCCTGAATTAGAAGAAGGTGGTAACTATTGCATTTGTTAAACTGATTTGCATTACATTAGACTGCTGATTTATTGTGAATGAATGATATTGTTTTATGATGCATTATACTGCTGAGTTATAAGAAATACTGTTCGCAGAAAGTCATCGCCTTATTTGTCTGATTAGAAGAGAACAGAACATGCTGGAGTTTTCTGCCCCATCTCAGCAGGAGCAGATAAACGGCGAGCCAAGGTCGTAGCTTAGGCGCCGTGTGAGAGAAAAGAATGTGAATGTTTAGGCTTTTATGATTAGATGGGGGCCACTAGAGGCTATAAGAGTTTGATCAATGCTCCACTATTTTGAGATCTGATGCTGTCTGCATACGGTGTCCATCTCCCACGCGTGTGATCATTAAAATCATCGTTTGACTCAACCCGGCCGGACCAGTGTTGTTATTGTGGTTTTTCCTCTTGTATCCATCCCCAATATTTGAATCTGTAACAGCACTTACAAATAATAAGCATTTCATGACTGAATCTTGGTAAAAAGCGCACTCCTACCTGTCCCTATGTCGTACAGGACTGGTATATGAGGCTGTTTGATGGCAATGGGGAACACCGCTTCATGGTTTTCAAACTGGAATGTGGCTATAGAAAAAATGGAGAAAACAAAAGTAAATTAAGAAAACACTTTTCACTGTTACCTGAATCCGCCTGCATTTAATGTTAAAGATGTTAGAAGTTTACATTCAGAGCAAAGAGAAAGCCATTAACGCTCATAAACAAAAGAACATACAGATATCAAAATTTGAAATTGTAGGTCATTTATCATTTCTTACCAAGGTCTCCAGTGTTTATATGGTAGATAGTGCTGGTATACGACACTTTGGCCAGCAGGTTGTTGAGGATTACCAGGTTATTGGATTCAATTATCAGTTTGTTCTCACCAGAACCTGTGAATTAATAAAAAAATCAAGAATTTCACAACAGTCTTACAATAACTTGGTTAATATGTTAATGTGTAAGAGCCAAGCAACTTCGTTTTGTGTTGTAATGATCGTATAACATAGTATGACTATCATACATGATACTCAATTTTTACGTGTCTAAAGCAGTGTGAAAGTTTGCTTAGCCAGATCAGCTTTACCCATATTTGCTTGACGACCACTAGGAAAAGGAAACATTTTTACTGACCCTTCCATGAAACAGGAGAGTTGGGCTAAAAAGAACACATCATCAAATGCCCCATACACCTTAGAATTTAAACTATTTAATTTTTTCACCAGTTTATAAATAAACTTTAGTCCTGACAGTCAATTCTCACCTTTAACTGTCACATCTTGATGTTGTATTTCAGTTGTGAGGATGCCTTTAGACACACTTAAGACCACCTACAACAAAAAGACCTCAATAATGTGAAGCAGAATATTGATACCTATACAATCATCTAAACAATAATAGCTACACTAAGCTGTATATGAAACAGGCTTAAGTTACTCTGATTTTCTTAGGTATTGCAGATTGAACTATGTCTTAACTATATACCCTTACTGGTACAGTGTGCAGATAGTGCAGAACACAGGTTTCACAATCAGGTTTCACAATCAGAAAGCATTTCAATGAAAATCATGTTTGTTATGAAATATTTGATGACAATGGAATGCCTTTGGCTATGGAGGTACAGAAGGTCATCTGCTAATTGGAAGGTTGGTCGGTTGATCCATGGCTGTTCCTGTTTGCATGCCAAATATCCTTGGGCAAAAGACTGACCCCAAGGTGCTCTCCAACTCTCTCAGAGTGTGAACGTTAAAGCATAGCGTTCTTGTGTGAATGGGCAGATTAGGCATGTTTTATAAAGAACTTTGAGTGCTCTAGAAGAGTAGAAGGCGCTATATAAGAAACACTACAAATGCCTATGGGAATATCTACTAATTTGATATATGAGGAAAATGAGGAAAACAGCATGGAAACTGATGCTAGTTTTTTTAAATGACACTACTGCTAAATATCCTTTATGATCACTGAGATTGAACTAAAATCACATGACATGTTTAAGACCTGGTGTGGGCAGGCCTTTTTAGAAAGCTGTTTCTGATTTTGCTGATTATGTATACCAATCTATTTGCTACAAAGTTACCAAGTTATTTGAATAATAGTATGCAATATTTTATGTAGTCCATGCCATAAAATCAATCTTGGCAAACTGAGATTAATATATTAGATTAGCAAGATTAACACCAAGATGGCTGCTGTAAAATAATAATGATATAAAAAAAAAAACACGTGTCTTGTCCATAATCAGTTTTGCAAAATTATCAATGTAATTTTTTTCTGTCCTTGTTTCACAAAGAGAAGGATCCAAGCTAGCATTAGCTGTAGGATCACAATCGTTGCATTTAATGACATTTAGGGATTTGAAAGTTAAATACATCAGAATCCCCCTTGAAGTGTGAACTTTACACTTTCAGCAGCCATCTTGATTAGACCAGGCAACATCAGAATCAGAATCAGAATACTTTATTGATCCCTGGGGGAAATTATTTTTTGTTACAGTGCTCCATTTTAAACCAACATTAAGACAAGACAGACAATACGCTAACTAAGAATAGTACAATATATACATATATATACATACATACATACATAAGTCACTTATAAATAAATATTTGGAAAAGAAACATCTACTATGCTTTACCATCAGTTAGATATGAAAGCTTGTTTCCACCACTGAAAAAAGTATTAATGAATTGATACTTTTTGGCAACTGATTGGCAAAAATGATACAATTTTGAGTTATCTCAGAATTGTGACTTTTTCTCAGAAGTTAATACGATGAAAATGCCTAACTTGAAATTTTGAGATAATAACACAAAATTTTAAGATGACCAATTTGACTTTAAGACCATCATTCTTACTCATAGATGATCGTTTTTTGTTTTTTTGTGGTGGAAATAAGCTTCCATAGTGGCATCAGTGTCAGAAATCCCCAACTCATCTGTGATGTCACACCAACCTTGTAGCTCTTTCTTTTTTCTGCATGCAGTCCTAAAGCTGGAAATGAAATCAGTTCTTTCATGAGAAGACACATAATTAACTCAAATTTAGAGTTTACAACAAGACTAAACTTTGCAAAGCAAGTAGATTAGGTAAGGCAAATGGTTTGGGGTATCCAGATTTATGTTTTCTAAAAAGTGTTTCACACATTCATACAGTGCTTTAGACTCTATAGTTTAAACACTTTACCTCGCATGCATGTTCACTTAAGAACCACCTGGTAATCTAATAAGCATTTTTTTGGGCAGTGGGAAGGAGCCAAAAAAATCATGAGAAAACCTACACAGGCCCAGGGTACAGTGAACATTCTAGGAGAACATGGAAAACCCCACGATCCTCTATATAGAAATCACTTAAGCCACAGATCAAAGTGAGATTAATTTGGCGGTGTGACGTTGTAGCCATGCTAACCACACCTTCCCTAGCTATTTCAGTAGCTGCCAGGGCGAAGAAGAGGTGTGCAGAGTACAGCCACACAAATGCAATAAATATGTGGGGGAGCACAATAAACATGAGCTTCCCATGTTTGATCGTGCACACAGGGATTATTTTGTCCACGATCATTTCATTCAATTTAATAACAGTAAACAGTAACAAAGTGCTCTGTATATTAAGCCCAGTATACCTGGTATGACAGTGGAGGTCAAAGGCTGCACTGTGTAACCCTGGATAGGATACTGCAGAGGAGAGTTAGGCAAGGCAAACAACAGTCTGGACAGTACTGAAGTTGTCCTGTTGAAGAGACGAGGTGTGAGCAGAGGAAAAGACAGATTACCTTCTTGACTTATAACATGAAATACAATTGTTCAATTTCTGTCATTTATATTTGACACACACACACACACACACACACACACACACACACACACACACACACACACACACACACACACACAGTAGACGATTAAATGGTCAAAACCCACAAGTTTTATACTGCTGTTCAATTCATGACATGTAAAATAAAATTTTCCAGCATTCTATCCATGGAGCTGGTACCTGTTTTTGTTCAGCTGAAACTCCCTAGCTCGTCGCTGCTTTAGCTCCTCACTTTGCTCCTTAGGGAGGTGATCTTTTAGGATATATGAGTCTTGAGGACAGGTGCAGGAACCAGGTAGAGGTCTGGTCACAGATGACCTGGAAACATGGCTGTAGGATAAAGATGCTGAAGAATGGCTGTTATATAGAAGTCCTGTATGGTTAGCACTCCATTCTTTAATACATTCAGTGTTTGATTAGTTTGCTGTTCAGTTTCTAAAGACCCAACCTAGGGAAGTTCAACTTGATCTCTTCTCTAACTCCAAATCATAATGTCATCTGCAATCATCCAAATCCATGTAAACTCCTGGCAGGCCTCATCCATCAGACTATCCATCACCATTGCAAACAGTGGAAGGAGCTCAGAGCTCATCCCTGATATATTCCTATCCCCACATTGAACGCTTCAGTCACTCCAACCGCACACCTCACAGGTGTCCCACTGTCTTCATACACATGCTTCTCTGTCCTCATTAAATACAAAACTTTCTCTCTCAGCATCCTATCATGTTTTCTTTCACATCATAAAAGACACAGTGCAACTCTTTGACAGATTGACCTCCTATATAATTCTCCATCATCAACCATCCAAATACTTTTTGAGGCACTTGATATAGTTTGCAGGTATATTTGAATGGACATGCAAGACAAAGCAGGTTATAAAAAGTGTGTTTCATGGTATTGATATTGACTACCTGTGCCTGCCTGTCATTGCTTTCATTATTGTTGAAACTACTAATATGAATATGAAAAAGGATGGTATTTCTTTGATCATTCTAAACAATTTATTTTAGAAATACTGCTAAAAAATATCAAATGTTACATAGAATAAATTAGAAGCAGGCAGAATTCATATCCACACACAGAGAGTTGGTTTCCAAAAGTTGATTCTGTTCATCTGGACGTAGCGTTTTGTGGGAGAAACATTTTGTCACTCATCCAAGTGACTTCTTCAGTCTCAGCTGACTGCAGGTTGGGGAAACCTGCAGTTTAGTTACCTGGATGATTGAGCATGCATCAAGACAGAGAGTTTGTTATACCTTCGTTCTGGTGTAGTGGGAGTGATGTTGGGTGGCTCTCCACGATATTTACTAAAATCTATGAAATAGAACGCCATCAGGATCATCAGGCAAACAGCAAAAAGCAGCTGAAATCTGTTGAAAAACATCTGTGGAGACAGACATACGCAAAAGCACTAATGTTATAGAAAGTTAACAGAGCCCTGAGCCTGGTTCTGTTGCAGATTTCTTCCTGTTAAAAGGGAGTTTTTCCTTCCCACTGTCGCCAAAGTGCTTGCTCATAGGGGGTCATATGATTGTTGGGTTTTTCTCTGTATGTATTATTGTAGGGTCTACCTTACAAGGTAAAGCACCTTGAGGCGATTTTTGTTGTGATTTGGCGCTGTATGAATAAAACTGAAGTGAACTGAAGCTTGCCTATTCTGCTTGATTTTAATAATATGATGCCTTCAACTGTCAAGTTATGCATACTTGTTATTTTAGTAATATTTTACTATTTTACTATTTAGTTGTAAGTTTTCCTTGAATGTTTTGAAAAGTGCCTATAAAAAATAAATAAAATGTATTATTATTATTATTATTATTATTATTATTATTATTATTATATTGGACTCAAAGCACATGCTTTCAGTGCAGTAGCTTTCTTTTAGTGCAGTATTTGATTGCTCCTTGGCAGAATCCTCTACCTCTAATTCAAATGAGTCTTTTCTAAGTAAAGGGTACATCTGACTTAGAATAAGTACTTATTACATTACTTAGCCATGAGTGTAAATAAACTACACTAAAAATTCTGTCAACTTGCAACAATATCAGGAACAGAAGCGATTGTAATGGGTTCCAGTTAAAGCCAGAAAAACTGGTTTAAGATGTGACTGCTTTTGTCTATAGTGTAAGGCATCCCCTCCTTTTATAAACAGGAAGGACAATCAGTGAGAAAGACAGAGAAAGCTCCTCTGCCTGGCTCCTCAGAGAAACCCAAAATAAGGGTGAAGAACACGTGAACATAAGAATTTTCAAATTCTGCTAATTGTGTGGATGTAAAATCTGATATATAAAAATCATATAATATTGAATTCAACACAATTCATTTAAAAACAATGATGAGACATTGACAAACAAACATATTCCTCTCCACTGGGGACGGACAATGTAACGTAATCTCAAAGCCTCATGTTGAGGTACTGTCTAAAAAATAGCAGTCAACAAATACTATTTCCATTTCTGACTACAAGGTCAATACACATAAAACTATTCTTGTTTCATCATATACAGATTAGGAATGTTTTTCACGAAATCAGAATATGCATACTAGCAGCTGCCTCTTCTCTCACTCACAAAATGCCTGTTATGGAGGAACAGAAACCTGAGAAACATTGAAAACAATGTGTTTGTGCTTGTCACAACAAGACTTACGAGAGTACCTCATGTTCAGCCACTACGATGAGGTAATGTGATTGCGGAGATAAACTTTAGCACCAATTTCTTCCCAGTAAAGTAAAAGTTGGCTTATAATACACAGCTTTCCTGAAAAGCAGCAGCGTTTGTCTTTCAAAAAACAAAATCCAGATATGTCAAATATCCACTAATACTTATTTTAAGACAGAGCCTGAGGGGAGTCCTGTTGCCACCTGCATGCGCACCTCAGTCAAATAGCCTTAAAGCGTGAACACGGTTCTCCACTATGACAAACTTCCGCCTTGTGAAAGATACAGAATTAATACAGACCTTTCCCAATGGCAGCAGGGTGTGGCTTCGTGTTTGATTCTCCAAGCCTGACCAAAGGTAATTTCAATCATGTATGGGGAAAAGCAAATCCAAACATGTTAAATGTCGAGCAACACTTGTTTGAAGACAGACGACAAACCCCTTGGGGGAGTGTCTTTCCTACCTGCCTGCACACCTCTATCAAATACCCTCGGTGCTAAGGTGTAATGTACAGCCTACCTGCACCACAGACTTCCCCTTGTTGCACTGTAAAAAGAGTTCTAAAAAGAGACTATCAAAAAGCACCAGTAGACTGTAAAATCCAAAATAATACAGGTCCAAATGACTTTTACAGAAAGACAAGCAGAGATGCCATCACCCCATAAACTCATACACACACAGCGTCAACAAAACAGCTTCCTCCATGATTTATCAGTTCAAAATAAATAGGACCAGATTAAAACATACTATTTATACTGCCCATCTGCACTCTACATGGTAAATTTACCTTCCTGCGTTTCTTCCTGACTGAAGAACTGTAACATATTATTACTTCATTTGTTAAATAAATATCTACTGGATTACCAAAGATTAGCTGACAATGACAAGTGGTGAAAGACTTTTTCAAAGCATTCCTTTAGTACAGTACAACAGTACACACAAAAGTTAACACATAAAACTGTATTAATGAAAATTCTGCTTAAAATACCAAAAATAAAAATGAATTAATACTGCTTGAGCTCATTTTAAATACTTATATTCTGTTTAATGTCCAGCATCCAAGCATATGTTTGCGGTGGCTGTCCTGTGAGGACCACGTAGCTATGATAAAACAAACAAACCAAAAAGACAATTGTTCACGAGCTGAGAAGCAGAACTATCATAAATATATTAAAACACATTAATTTAAAAAAACAGCTGAATTAAAAGCATTGAGCTGTATGTGACATGGATAATAACCTACAGGGGGTTTGAAATATGAATGGAAAATGAAGGTGAAGCGTTGGCAAAACAGCTGGTTAAATGTAGTACGAAATCAGACTGATAGAGACATGTACATGCTTGATACAGACTGGCTAATTGTGGAGAGCCAGAGAGACCTGAAATCAGCAGGTACAATTGTGTCAAAGTAAGCAATGAGTCATGCATTCAACCACAATGGACTGCATGCACTCTCACCACCAGCGAGACTCCATGAAAGAAGAATGTTGAGCAACATTTAGACCAGCCTGTGAAATACTGGGAGAGTATAGTCTGTTTTTGGATGCCATAAACATGATATTTGGTGGTCAAAGGGCACTGCATATTACCTCACCATGCCAACAGTGAAGTTTAGAGAACATCATGATGTGGGGCTGTTTTTCAGCACAGGGCACTGACATGCGTTATATAACTGAAGGAAACATGAATGGAAAAAGATACCAAGACATTCTGATAGAAATTCGCCGTCCTCTACCAGGTTGATAAAGATACAACAAGGGTAGATGTTTTAGCAAGACAGTGATTTCAAACACACAGCTGAGGAAACTCTCAGGTGGTTTCAAAGAAAGAAAATAAAGCTGTTAGAATGGCTCAGCCAAACACCTGACCTGAATCCAGCTGGTGATCTATGGCAGCGGTCTCAACCTTTTTTGCGCCACGGACCGGTTTATGCCCGACAATATTTTCACGGACCGGCCTTTAAGGTGTCGCAGATAAATACAACAAAATAAAACTAGTACCGGTACCGAAAAAAAAGAAGATTTATTCATAACACACGTGAAAAGTCCCAGGAAAACCGAGTTAACGATAAAAACGATAACAAAATAACGCTGAAAACCGGTAAAAACCCTGAAAACTATACATTTCACACCTGAGCCTCTACTGTCGCGGCCCGGTACCGGTCCGAGGCCCGGGGGTTGGGGACCGCTGATCTATGGCAAGAACTAACGGTCAGAATTTACAACATTTTATCAGTGTGTTGTTGCAAGCACCACCTTCTTTGCTGTGTCATGCTGAGGTGCAGGCATGGCAGGCAAGGAAGCAAACAGACTGAACACACTCATTGCCACCCTGGAGGAGGTGATCAGGGACAGAATGCTGGCAAGACTTCTGGCAATCATTGACAATGATTGCCACCGGCTCCATAGCACACTGGACAATCTGAAGAGCAGTTTTGGCAACAGGTTCCTTCACTGTCGCTGTCTGAGAAAATGTTAGAGGAAGTTGTTCCTTCTGCTGCTATCAGACTCTTTAATTCATCCACTTGGGTCAGATCCACACATGCGGAACAGAACTAATCACATCTCAATGCACCCTGTCACTTTCGTACTCCACGACATATATTTTCACAGCTACTTGTATATTTATATTGATATTTGTATTTATACCTGTTATCTATTTATCTTAATATTTATCTATCAGTATCTCTGTTTCTATACTCATTTTATAGTGTAGTGCCCATAGTGCCCTATGGAGAATAGAATAATTCTATTCTAATTCTAAGACCGAATTAAACTTAAATGAATTGAAACAACAGGTGCAGCGTTTTCAGTTTACGTTTTTGATTTCTTGTGTTATATTTTGAGATAATGTTAAGTTCTTTGATTATTGTTAGATTGCCTCAAGTTGTAGTCTAGGTTATGTTTGACCCACGTCCTCTGTGTTAGTTGTCATGCATTTCTTGTCTGTGTGTTCCATATTGTCACGTGTTCTATGTTGATTGTGTTTAGTCTCACTTTTCTCCTGTGGCATCATTATGTTCCTCACTAAGCTGTTTCCCCATGTGTTTCCTCTTCTCCTGTGTGTATTTAGTCTGTGTGTTCTTTCAGTCTTTGTCTGGCCGTCTGTGTTTCCTCCCACCACGCCACGTCATGTTCCATGTATTTCGTGATTTACGTTTATGTTTCTTCCTCATCATAGTTTGTCACACGTTCCTGTTCAGAATCATGTCCATGTCTGTTGTCATGGTTATCACAGTTTCGTTTCCCCAGTTTAGGTTCTAGTTTTAGTTTTCGCCCCTGTTTGCTTTGTTTTTGTATTCTTCTTACCAGCCGTAATAATGGCTCGCCTTTTGTTAGCCTTACTTTGTTTTTCAACCATTTGTGCGTATTGGGTCCTTTCCTTAAACACACACGCTTCGTAGCTGTGACAACATCAGCTATTAGTGGTACCAGTAGTACCAGCAACAACTAATAACAGCTTGTAACTAGGCCTCGCAGTCACATGAGGCTGCTGCCACTAGCACCAGCTGTGGAGAAGTGAGGAAGATGAAGTAGATGAAATTAATGTGGTAAGAAAATAGATGGAGGGGCATAATTAGGAGGGGAGAGATTTAAAGATTCAGGTAAGATGAACGGCTACTTTGACAATGAGCCACAGCTAAAGTGTAATAATTTAATTACTGTCACATGCTGAAGTGCAACTAAGCAACCCAATCAATAATCATATTGATATTAAATATGTTTTAGCATCCACTGTCTATACTTTAGGACACATATTCTAGTCATTAATCTGTGTTAGTCAGGTTAAGATAGAGATATGATTGATGTGTGGACTTTCAGCTTTAATTCAAAGGGTTTAAGAAAAGGAACTATTTGTTACTTTACTTGTTAACTATTTAGAAATTACAGCTATATCTATAAATGTTGCCGTCTCTCACCTTCTCTCTACAGAGAGCAGAGGTTTAAAAGTTTATGTTTGTTCAGTGTAGTCGCTGCTGGCTGATTCATAATGCAGGAGAACTACTCGTCGCTGGAGTATTGAGTAACTCGTGTTGGTGAACGCCCGGCTCTGCAAACGTGTGTTTCTCCTGGTGCTTACTCGGGAATTAATGTTAACTTTGGATTTAGGATGGCTAAGCCCCTGAGTGTGAGTGTTGGCAGCTTGAAGTGGAGTGTGTGTGAAAGGAAGGAATTCCAAGCAAGGAGCTGTCGACCCCTAACACCCCCACATTCCCACCCCCACCACACACACACACACACACCACCACCACCACCTGTATGTAGTTCACCCGGTGTTGTTTAAAAAAGAACTGTATTCCTCAGTCTGCTCCTGAGTCCGTCCCTGACTATTGTAATAGTCAGGGCGACTATTACAATACAGTTTTCATGGAAAACTTGTGATCTGGCTTTGACACAAGCTCCAAATAAACTTTTTATAGACAAACTGCTCAGGACCACAATGAGCAACAAAAAATCAAAGGCATTGATGACATCTCCAAACTCCTAATCTGTTCCTGAGCTGATCAAACATTTGTGCAATGCGCTGGAAAAAGGCCAGTCTATAAATGTCAAACTCCGCAGTCCACAGAACCAACTGTAGAACTAGACACCGCAGGATGCCTAAAAAGCTATCGTGTCAAAAGAACTAAGCTATTTTGGGACCTAAACAACATTAGGCAGATGGTTATACAGTGGTGATTTATTGCTGATACAATGGAAAACAAAAATATTAGTTTAAAGAATGCAAATGACCTCATTTCAGCCCTTTTATTTAACACTTTTACTAACATTTACTAACAATATATACGAATATATACTATTGAATTCGGTTCTTTGCATTCTTTCGGCCGCGAGGAAAAACTGGGCTCAAAGTGGTCTAACTCAAAAAATGATCTTTATTTTGCATTCCCGGGAATGGGGAGCTGTTAGGCGCTATCATGCACCCACAGCTCTGAAAAGATCACAAGACGAATTCTCATTTTTTTTATTAGTTCAAGTTTTTATTAGTTCAAAACTTGAGTAAAAATGTAATCTATTAATGGAATTCAGTAATCTCCCTTTTTTATATAGAGCATTTAATTATTCATGCCATTACTGGATAAAATTGCCGAACGAGACTTACAGAAAAACTCTGCTTTAATGTTCTGCAGTTTAACAATCCAATCTCCGCTTCACTGGTCGTGCTCTCAAAGCCCACATAGAGCTCTTTTAATGAGTTACTGGTAATAAAGTTCAGTAATAGGTTAACATTTAATTGAAAAATGCAGAGCAGCAGTGTAAGACATGGTTTATGTGCCTGAGTC